CGGGTGGCAGTATACGCAGTGAAGTTGTTTGCGGCCTGCCAGTAAACCCAAAGCAGAAGAAGTAGAAGAAGAAGTGACGTCAGCGGCTTCATTTGCGTAACCCTCCCTCAGGCACTTATTCCGGTGTGAACGCGATCTACTAGGACAGTTCCAGGTACTAAAGAATTCGGCGAGACTCAGTAAGGCAAAGTACTTGGTGTGAAAGCGGTGAGTCAAAGTCAGCCACTTTCTGCTTAAAACTGTCTTTTCTTTTACCCCTCAGCGTCCTCGATAGCCCCCAATAACATTACAAAACGGTCGGCCAAGATATTCATTTAATTAACTCAACTCATTTAGGAATTTGGGCCTAAATATGAAGCGTTATTGAGCTGCACTGTAAATGTTCTGTATTTCAGCCGCTTTTTTTGCTCAAACTTTCTGACTCAAAATTCTGACTTTTTTATTTCAATATCTGACGTTCTCAAAAAAATCTGATTTTTTCTAAGATATCTGACTTTTTTGCCTCAGAATTCTAAATGTCTTAGTCCAATATTTTTGGATCAAAATTCTGTCTTTTTTAATTTCAATATCTGACTTTTCTCTACATTTTGGAAGTCCTCTTTTGGTTTCAGAAGGGAGGAACAGATCCATAAATCAATATTTTCGTTATGAGTTTCATTTCTTATGAGTCTCGCTTGTAGTGTTGCTTTAAATCTTATTTACCTCCATGAGGGATGTTAAAAAACTCTGTGGGAATCTCCTTTCTCCCACTACACCCATCATGATTGTTTATTGATTGACATCTGACACAGCCAATGGTGAAAGCCCTCTCGTTTAAAAGGAACATTTTTAAACCCAAATCGGCTAATTGGGAGGGACAAATGATCCCATCGCTGCAGTGTGTCGGTTAATTACTATAATAATTAATAACTATTCTGTTCTTGTACATATCATATTCTATTTACATGTATATAGACTTCCTGCACAATTGTGTATTTTTGTGTTTTATGATATATGTTGCATTGTTGGAGGAGCTCAGGTCAGAAGAATGTCTTAACGTATCTCAAAGACACACAGGAAGTAGCAGGCATATGAAAATTGGGTTTTAAGTTATTTTAGGCTGTTTTAAAATCAGAAAGCTCCGACTTCAGTTCCCCACGGTCGGTAGGGTTTAGTGCTGCTGAGGAGAGGAATCGAAGAGGAGGAGGAAGAGGAAGGAGGGAGGATGGGGAAACCAATAGGAAATGAAGTAGAGAGTGAGAGGAGGGAAGAGGAGGAAGAAGAAGGTGATGAAGAGGTGACATTGCGTTGAAAAACATCTAAAACATGACCTCCGTCTCCCATATTGAGTCCATATGGAGGTCGAAACGCAGCCAAATGATGGGGGAAGAAGGGGGGAGATAAAGGGAGAGGCTGCTGGTGGTACTGGAGGTGGTGATGGTGGTTTTGGGGGTGTAAATGGGAGGACAGGTGGGAGAGGAGGCGGGATTTTAGAGGGTTTTCGGGGTCCAGACCCTCCACGGAGCTCAGGAAACGAGAAACCTCCGTCACACACTCCCGGAAACCCAGAGACAGGAAGTCAAGCGCCAGAGCCTGGGCGTCAAAATAACCTAAAGAGAGAGAGAGAGAGGGGGAGTTAAATACTGTGAGAGGGAAGCAGAGATGTGGTATTTCTGTGTTGGTCCCTGAAGGCAGCATCTCCCTGGTTCCCTTCACAAATAATCTATCGGATTTCTCCATGTGATTTTGGATTATGAATGGATTTCTGAAGTAAAAAGCGAACGTTAGGCTACAAAGGAACTACAGCACGGTCACATGACTTCACGTCACCACCGCTAAGCTAAAGGTGGCTAATGTTGGGCTATAAAGGAACTACAGCACGGTCACATGACTTCACGTCACCACCGCTAAGCTAAAGGTGGCTAATGTTGGGCTATAAAGGAACTACAGCACGGTCACATGACTTCACGTCACCACCGCTAAGCTAAAGGTGGCTAATGTTGGGCTATAAAGGAACTACAGCACGGTCACATGACTTCACGTCACCACCGCTAAGCTAAAGGTGGCTAATGTTAGAATATAAAGGAACTACAGCACGGTCACATGAATGTACTTTACACACACAGTTTATTACCATTTTAAGAAGCCTCTAAACCTCTTATAATATTACTTTGCTATGATTTAAAAGTGTGTGTAAACTATAAAAAGATTACCTTTCCCTGCGGTGGCCTGCAGCTTTAGATGATCCACAGTCATCTGCAGGATCTCTGCCTTCTCCAGTTTACCTGAACCCTGAGGAACAACACAGGTACAAGATCTGAGTACTTCTACTTTTACTCAAGTACAAGATCTGAGTACTTCTACTTTTACTCAAGTACAAGATCTGAGTACTTCTACTTTTACTCAAGTACAAGATCTGAGTACTTCTACTTTTACTCAAGTACAAGATCTGAGTACTTCTACTTTTACTCAAGTACAAGATCTGAGTACTCTACTTTTACTCAAGTACAAGATCTGAGTACTTCTACTTTTACTCAAGTACAAGATCTGAGTACTTCTACTTTTACTCAAGTACAAGATCTGAGTACTTCTACTTTCACTCAAGTACATGATCTGAGTACTTCTCCCCCTCTGCTTGTACCTAATGGTATATTTATTAATAAACATATAAATACCTGCTTGTCGAAGGCAGAGGGCACGAGTCTGCGTAACTCCGACAGACTGCTGTTGATTCTGTCTCTGCGCCTCTTCTCGATTACCTGACAAATACAATCACAAAATAAAAACTGAGTCTTTAAACATCACCAGAGATAAGAAATACTTCACTAATATAAACTGCAGTAACTTAAGTACATATCCTGATATTTAACTTGAGTATTTCCATTTCCACTTTACAAAGCTAAATATTGTGTATTTCTTGTTACACCTCACTTTGAACAGATAACACGATGTTTGGTATTACAGGTATATTCATTAACTCTGTACACAAAGAACAATGTTATATTATTATATTTATATGTTTATATACATTTGTTAAATTAGTTTTGCACTTTCTTATTATGTTGATTTAATTTAATTCTAAAATGGAGCCACTTTCACGAAATGAAATGTCCCCAATATACAAACCCAATATTCAGATATTTCCTAAGTAGAATATATATATTAGTTTCACTGAATCAAATAAATAAATGATTTACCCCTCTGCGCTTTTTCCTCGCCGTCACTTGAGTGTTGGCGGTCGGGGATCTCATCAGAGACGCCGTCATGTGCCTGAAACACAATGATCCAATAAAAGCATTACAAATAAACACGTTAAAATGAAGCTCAGCGCGAGTTCTGTCAGGAAGACGGGAAGCCTCTCCTGATTGAACTTCAAACTGAGCGGTTACTAACACATCGGATAAATACTGTTTAACTTTGAGGTAAATATGTAGCCTATTGCTTCTGTTTCGAGCTGCATCTGTTTAAGAGACTTTTATTGTAGAAGTTGCTGCATGGGATTGTGGGAAATGTAGTTTATGTAGGTTTAGCTAACTTGAAAACAGTCACGTGACACTGTTTTTATTTATTTTATTTAAACATTTTAAACCCAATAAATGGTCTATTTTTTGTCCAAAGTCCAACATGGATCTGGAGGATTATACAGTGTTTCATTCAAATGTTTAATATTATTTAAAACAAATGTAATAACAGAAACTTCAAAACAAAATAAAGGAGCCTCTTGTGCATCTAATACTGATTTTGAGTTTTTAATTATTCAATTGTCTATTTAAATGTGTTTGTATCTTTTTAATTAAGCAGGTTGATGTTGTTCTGAAGAGATCAACACATTACATTATTGATATAGCACTTTTTCACGGAAGTAACCTTTAAATCCTGGAATTACAAGATAAATAATCCTAATATTTAAACAAATGATATGCTATAAAGAAGCTGTAGACCATGAGAATATCTCGAAATAACATGAAGACCAAAGGCGTGCTCTGTAGATGTGTTTCATATGCGGGCTGCTCAATTCATCGTATTTTAATTGCAATTACGATTTTGGCTTGCAACAATTATGAAAACAACATAATCGAAATAAACGATTATTTATGTATTTTAATTAAAAACATCTGTATTAATTTTTTTTTGCATTCGTTTTTCAGTTGAGTCATAGCCTACTTAAAGTTCAGGGTAATCAACTGTTAGATAAATGGATGTTTTCAAAGTAAATGGATAATCGTTTTTAATAATCGTGATATCAATTATTGACCCAAATAATCGAGATTATGATTTTGGCCATAATCGAGCAGCCCTAGTTTCATGCATGAACACCACTTTTACGTGTCCTATGCCTTTCCTTTAAAATGTTTACTTTAAATCAACATAATCATTATTATATAGATTCAGCAGATGCAACATATATAATACAATACAATACAAAAATAAGTGCAAAATAGTGCAAGAAGTCTATACATGTAAACAGAATGTGATATGAAGAAGAACAGAATATTACATTAAATAATGTACATTAAGACCAAATTAAAAACGGTTTTTGCGGTGATAACTATTTAAATAAATACGTAGATTGCAAGATGACAAACAGATGAATGTTTATTTATATAGATGTAATCATGAGCCACAGAAGCTTTTACTTATAACATGTGATGCAGAAAGTCTCACCCTGGATAAAGGCACTCTCTTCCCACATCGATGTTCTCCTCCAGGTCGCTCTCTGCGGAGCTGCTGTCCTCACAAGGCCGCTTCATGGTGCATGTAGGGCGGGGAGAAGTCTGCGTGTCTCCCGGTAGAAGCGTGAAGGGTTTTTTTTTGTTCAAAGAAAAAAAGTTTCTAACCCCTTTTTTCTGTTCTTATCATATGTTTTGGAGGATACAATAACGATTTAATGCCACCACAGGAAGAAATTACAATAGAATATCAATTAATATTCACCTAAAGAGACTAGTGTAGAGGAATACTCATTAGTTGTGGTTTTAAATGAATATTATAAGAGTTTAAAATACGTTTTTCGGTTTGTCAAAAACGACATGCAAAAAATCATTTCCCGGTATCAACAGACGAAACAAGTGCTGAACGCGGAGCAGATCTCCGTGTTTGTGTGTTTTTTTGTCTCTAAAGTCTCTACAAGTCTCAACAATTCAGTGTAAAAATGTTTTTTCTCCGGAGCATCCAGGAGTAGTATTCCAGCGGTGTTTGTCCGGTGGATAATCCGAGACAGGTGGCCTGTGTGTCGGCTGCAGATCGGACTGATGACCGGTGAGTGCTCCTCTTTCTGGAGCTTTCCCACGGAGCCTGACACACACTCACACACTATACACACACACACACACACACACACACACACACACACACACACACACACACACACACACACACACACACACACACACACACACACACACACACACACACACACGCGGTGGACCCGCCCTCGTGCTTACACACATTTGAAGTGGACGTTTTCAACAGCGCTGGTCCACTTCTGATAATACCGTGTGTGTGTGTGTGTGTGTGTGTGTGTGTGTGTGCGTGTGTGCGTGCGTGTGTGCGTGTGTGTGTGTGTGTGTGTGTGTGCGTGTGAGGCATATTTCCCTGCATGGGAATGAGGCCACTTTTTACAGTCAAGAAATATTAATTATTTAGCCAAACATGTTTCAGACTACACAGTTGCATTGAAGGTGAAAACATTTATTATATATTATTTTATTTATATACGTGTAATGTTCTAAACTTCACCTCTTATACAGCCATACTCTTCAATTCTTCTTATCATCTTATTAAAAGAGTGCTATCCTGTCTCTACTTTAAAGAGTCCTCTCCTGCTGATGTTCAGGTGTATATCAGTATGTAGTGTCTCTACTTTAAGAGTCCTCTACTGCT